TACTCTTGCTCTCCCTTTCCTGTAGAGATAGAAACAATACCCTCCCCTTAGGCTGCTTAGTACCCTGATCCCCCATTGACATCATTTTTCTTCTCCCACCACTCTGTAGGCTTTAAAAGGAAATGGGGAGGGGTAGAGATGCCTTTCAGCACAGGTGTTTTCTACATCTGTTTTTGATAACGTATGAGCCATTAGGTTTGGTCGGGCACATGCCAGAATATCTGGTCCTCAACCTAGGAATTGTGTGCTGTGTGTCTCCTTTTCCTTGTTCCCTTTCTGCTGTTTGAACTTACCTCAGTGGACTCATATTGTACTTGACCTTTTGTGCTTGTGTAACTTCACTGCGCATAATATTCTCCAGGTCTTTCCACAAGATGAGTCCTCTCATCGTGTCACCTCTCTTTTAGGGATGTGTAGTATTCCTTTGTCTGTAAATACCGGAGTTTTCTTATCCATTCACCTGTTGAAGGAAACTTAGGCAGTTTCCAATGTTTTGTGATTGTATACTGCACAGGTAAGATCATTGTCTGGTTGTGATCTGTTTCATATTTCTTCTGGGTATATACTTGGTAGTGAAATTACTGGGTCATCTCATAGCTTGATTTCCACCTGTTTTAGGCATCACGAAATCACTTTCCACAGTGGCTGTCCATGTCTACAAGACCACCAGCGGTGAACGAGAGTTCCTATCTCACCTCACCTACTCCATTTGTTGCTCTGTTTTTTTTGAATTAGGCTGTCCTTGTGGATGTTGGATGGTATCTGCTAGGTTTTTCTTTTGCATTTCCCAAGTGGCTAATGATCAGGAGCATCATCTCATCTCTATATTGGACATTGAAATTTTCTTCCTTTGGGAATCTTCTGTTGAAGTCTTTTGCCCACCTCCTCAGAGGGCTATTTGTTTTTATTTTTTTCTTGTAAGATTGGAAGATAGTTTTTAGAAATAAGTCCTTTGATATGTCATTAGAAAATATCTTTTCCCAGTCTGTGGGCTCTTTTACTACTCTCTTGAGGAGATATTTCCATGTACACCAGTGTTTCATCTTTAGCAGGTCCCACTCTATTTCATCTTCCTCTGGGTGTGTGTCCTTCATTATTTCTGATGGTCTCTGCACTAATGTCTTTAGCTTTGTCCCAATTTCCTCACTGATGATCCTGATAGTTTTGAGTTTTACCTCAAATTCTGTGATCCACCTTGAGCTTGTTCTTGTGTGTGGAGTGACGTAAGGGTCTTGTTTCATTCTTCTGAAGGCGGATGTCCAGTTCTTCCAGCACCGTTTGTTGAAAAGAGCATCTGCTTCCCATTTGATATTTGGGGGGTCTTTGTCAAAGATCAGTTGTGTATATTCTGCTGTTTTTATTTCTGGACTTTCTGTTCCTATCCATTAGTCCGAGTATCTATCATTATACCAGTACTGTGCTGTTTTGACAACTGTGGCTGTATAATAAGTTCTAAAGTCAGGGAATGCAAGCCCACTCATTTTGGTTTTCCTCCTGAGGAGTTCCATGCCAATTCTGGGGTTTTCTCTTTCCATATAAAATTGGTAATAAGTTAATCCATTTCTTTGAAAAATTATGCTGGAATTTGTATACAAATTACAAATTTGTGTAAATTTGTAATTTATAGAGTGCCTTAGGCAGGATCAACATATTTACAATATTGAGTCTTCCAATCCACGAGCATGGTATATTCTTCCATTTGTGAAGATTCCTGTTGTTTCTTGTAGTAATGTTTTGTAGTTTTCCTAGTACAGATCTTTTATTTCTGGGTTGGGTCTGGTTTAGGTATATTCCTTCAATTTCAGTTTTTGATTGGCTGTTATAAAGGGTATTACCTTCTTGAACTCTTTTTCTGTTACCTCCTCTGTGGTGTATAGCAATCCAAATATCTTCTGATTGTTAACCTTACATCCTGCCGCCCTACCATGTGCCACTATCATTTCAACCAATACTATGGTGGAGCCTTTTGGGTTCTCTCTATATAAAATCACGTCCTCTGCAAATAACAGTAAATTCTCTTCTTCTTTCCCAGAACGTATAACATTGATCAACTTCCATTGCCTAATATTATTAGCTAGGACCTCGAAGATGACGTTGAATAGAAGTGCAGATAAGGGGCATCCTTGTCTGGTCCCCTTTTGCAATGGGAATGTTTTAATCTTTTGTCCATTTGTTAAAATGCTGGCTGTTGGTTTTTCACTTATGGTTATTATTATATTTACTTAATTCCCTTGTAATCCTATCTTCTTGAATGTCTTTGTTAGGAATGGGTGTTGAATATTGTCAAATGTTATTCTGCCTCTACCCCTTTTATCATGCGGTTCTTGTTCATTTTGTTGTCAGTGTGATGGATAATGTTGATGGCTTTTCAGATGATGAACCATCCCTGCAGCCATGCTTTGAATACCATTTGGTCATGATGGAAGGTTTTTTCGTATACTTTGAATTCTATTGCCCAAGGTTTTTGTTAAGGATTTTTTTTCATCAATGTTCATTACAGATATAGGCCTATAGTTCTCTATTCTTGTGGGAACCTTGCCCAGCTTTGGTATAAGTGTTATATTAGCTTCGTAGAATGTGTTTGGGAATTGATCATCCTTTTCTATGTTCTGGAAAAGCTTGTGTAGATTTAGTGTCAGTTCTTCCCAGAATGCTTGGTTGAATTTTTCTGTGAAGCTTCCTGCTCCAGAACTTTCTTTAGTTGTAGTTCCTTGAGAACCTATCTATTTCTCCATTTGCTATGGGTCAGTTCATGGTCTTGATGTGTATATAAAATCATTTGGGCATGGCTTGTTTTTCCAGGTATTTTTCTGTGTCCTCTGAGTTGTTGAATTTGTTGGACTACAGTCTTTCACAGAACTGTGTAATTAGTCTTTTAATTTCATTGGTATCCCTTGTAATTCACCCTGTTTCAGCCTTCATCTGCCCTTCCTATCTTTTGGTAGGTTTGCTGGCAGTATATCAATTCTGTTGATCCCTTTGTAGAACCGGTTTTTCACTGAAGTTATTCTTTCCATTGATTTTTATTTACCACTCATTTATCTCCACCACGATTTTCATAACTTTTGTTTTGCTATTGGAAGGATTATTTTGTCACCCCTGTTCCAATGACTGAATGTTTTGTGAATGGGTATCCACCATAACTCTCTCTTCCTTCTTCATATGCGCATTTATCACTTTTAAGCATCCTCTGATAACTGCCTTTGCTGTATCCTAGTTTGGTATGTTGCATTCTCATTCTCATTTGTTTCTAGAAACTTCCTTATTTTGTCTTGAATTTGTGGCAATATCCAGTCTTTCTTGTGGAATATAAAAAGACTTTCCCACAGATTCTCTACCCCAAATATAGATGTCAGACATAGGACACTGCTTGCAACTAATGATAAATGATTGTCACGTAATTTCCCTGAAGACACCAGCCATCCAGAGCAAGCAGATCCTATTATCTGTCCCGCCACAACTGGGGCTCACTCTCTGCCGTTAGGGACAGTGGATTGCTTCCCCTGAAATCTTAGACTAAATCAAGTGTCCAGCTCAAGGACAATCAAGCTTAGGCTGCCATCATGAATCTAGCATCAGCCTATCTTGTCTCATGCATACCCTTAATCCCACCTCTTCCTATAGCGTGTATAACCCTAGCTCATCCCCACCCCATTGTTGTACTACCTATAGTACAACCCCTTCCTGTGACGTATGTCTTTAACTGTAATTAGGGGTCTTGCACGGGCCAAAAGATATATAAGCCTTGGTTAGAAATAAACCTCCCTCTTCCCTCTCTGTCCACACTGTGCACACACCTGGCCGGGGAGATCATGGCCATCCAGGAGGTGAGCTTTCTACCATGAAATGTGTCTGACTTCTTCGTGTTACTCTCTCTCCTATCTCTATTATTCTCTATGACGTTACTATAACCTTTATCTATCAAAACTGTACAATTGAGTCTAGCGAACCCGTGATTAGATGTGGGGGGCTTTGGTTCCCCCACATTTTTAAGACATCAGTTATTTCTCCTCCATGTATTTGTCCTTGTGCTGTACTTTCTTATGTTGATTTCCAGCACTACATCCAAGTGGTCAGAGAAGGAGTGGTGTGACCTCTGTATGTGGGAATTTAGTCAAGCCTGACTTGAGTCCCAGCATGTCAGATGACTGAGCTTCTTCAGTCAGTCAAGGAAGACACCGGGACGCCTCCATCCTTGACTTTACTCCACAGTCATTAAATCTAAAGGATTCCAACACACGAACTTTATAGCCATGTCTCTGGGACCTTCTGCGTGGTCCATGTCCAGCTGAAGACTGAGGACATCTGGCCTTCTCCAACGTCCTGCTCTTTCAGACCGTCCATTCCCTGGTCAGTATATTTTTCTCTCTGTGTCTGCAGATGGCTCTTTAAACAACCCTAACTGATTCATCTTTGACTCATAGCTGACTGTATTAGTCTGGGTACTTTAGAGACACAAATCCACAGAAACTCATGTAGAAGAGAGTGTTTTATATAAAGGTTAAATGTGCATCAAGAAAACATCCCAATCCAGTGCTACCCAAGCCCACAAGTCCAACATTAACCCATATGTCCCAAACCAATCCACAAAAATCCTCCTCCATCTCACAAAACGGATGCAATGATGCCGAATTCAGGAAGACCACAGGCTAGTGAGTAGAAGGTCTTGTGGATCCAGTGGAAGTGGAAGCATCTCAATGCTGGTGCGGGTCTCCATGTGTCTCCACCGGCTCTCTAAGTGGCTCAACTGCAGGATAGAGAAGGCAGAGAGAGGGAGGTTTGTGCCTCCATTGAGCTATTTATCTCCGTTGCGCCTCCAAATGAGGTAATCAAGTTGTGACCTGATTGACAAGCTAGACTCCACCCCTTCGCTCAAGATGACAGATTATGTAACTGCTGCATCCCACCCCAAAGATGTATTTTTGTGTTTTGGTTTTTAGACCTGTTCCTGGGTGTGTTAGGCCAGCTTGTTTAGAGAAACAAATCCAGTGACACTCATCTATGTAAAAGAAAGAATGTTATATCACGAAGTATTTTATTTCATGAGAGTATCCTAGCCCAGTTCCGCTTAAGTCGATACATCCAGTGCTAGTCCATAAGACCCTCTTGAGACCCATGCAGCCACACGCTGGCGATGCAGAATGACCGACCTGGATGTAGGAAGATCACAGGCCGGTGGGTGCAGAGTGTATCCAAGGTTGGTGGGAACAGGGCAGGGCTCTAGCAGCTCTCAGGGTTTGACCCAAAGGGGCCACCCCTTGAGGCAGGCAGAGTTCCTGCAGGCAGGAAGTCAATGTTTCAGAGAGAGAGAGACTCTGTTCATCTTGCTGTTATGCAAGTCTTATGATGTCAAGGAGGTCCGTGATTTGATTGACAGGTTTGACTCCACCCCATAGCCAGGGGTGTCTAGTTGACTTCATCCCTAAGTACCAACTGGGGTTCTTGGGGGTTTTGTCACAGAAACCTGTGCTTTTGGTTAAAAAAAGTAGATGCTCACATATTAAGTTCTTATTTTAATATCTAATGTTCCCTTTGTGCTCAAAAGGTAGTTAATTAAATACCGCCTTAAATTATCCAGATTTTTAAATGGGCGAGTTAAAGAAGTGTGGTATATGGCATACATTCTGTATCTTAAAAACTAGAGCTGCTGGTGGTGGGGAAACAGCTGCCATTTCTTGGAATGAGCAGGTCAGATAGACCCAGAAACAAGTCAGCCTGGGGAGGCATCCAAATGTGTTGGCCAGTGATTTAAAACGGAGTCAGCAGAACCCTTTTATGTGGCGGTAAGTATTCAATTTAAAAAACCCCACTGAACTACGGAACTGTGTGATAGGTGAATGGCATTACAATAAACATATCAGGGGGAGATCAAATGAAAATGGCGTCTGTGCTGGGAGATGAACTTCACAGGAGGGCGGTCTGGGAGCCGCTGGCTGCGATTGCCAAGTTTCACGACATCAGATAGGTGACCGTGAATCAGCTGGGCAAATCCGTGGGCTCTCTGGACACAGTAGCTGCCATGGGGCCTCTGGAAACAGCTGCGACTCAGTCTCTCCAAGAAGCTGGTCATTTGGGGCAGCGATTGCCTGGTTTCTTGGTCTCTGAGATGGGGAACTGCAGACCCCACCTTTTGTCTCCCTGGAAGTGCACTGGAGGACTCTCCTGAGCAGACACGATTCCACTGGAGAAGCCCTCTCAGTGTCTGCTCCAAGCCCTTCCCAGAGTGCTGCCTGCGTCCTCAGGGGTCACAGCCAGGAGGTCCTGGGGGTCAGTGCTTGTGGAGGGTTGCATACGTGGTGGACTCAGCTGTGAGCTGCCAAGACCCAGCTTGAGATGCCCCTCGAGTGAGGGCCTGCTGGTTCAGCTGAGCATAAGTCACGTCCTGGGGGTGTCCTGCAGCAGGGGTCTGAGGGAGAGAGAGCAGGGTGAGTCAGCGGGACTGAGGGTGAGGAACAGGGGGCTTTAAGGAGCAGATGTTGATACCTAACTTTCACAATGGTCCCCAATGATCATATCACTGTGTGGTTCCTGCCCCTATGATATCAGAGTTGCTCTGGGTGACCCAGAAGGCAGCTGTGACTCAGTGGTCGCATTCTCATGTGCCACGCAGGACACCCATAAACACAAACATAGTCCGCAGCTGCGGAATGAATTCTGACTCATAGAAGTCCTTCAGGACAGACTAAAATGGCCCCAGAGGATTTCCAAGGCTCTGAGATGTACTGGGGGGAAATGTAAAGTCAGAAATCTCCTTAGAAGCAAGGATGGCAAAACTCCGTCTTACATACTTTGGACCCCTAGTCAGGAGAGAGCAGGCCCTGGAGAAGGACAGCCTTCTAGGTCAAGTGGAGGGACAGTGAAAAGGAGGCAGGCCCTCACGGAGATGGCTTGACACAGCGGCTTCAGCAACGAGCTCAGGCATGGGAACCATTGTGTGGATGGCGCAAAGAGGGGCCGTGTTCCATTCCGTTGTGCACAGGGTCGCTATGGATCAGAAGCAATTGGATGGCGCCTAACACCACCACCACCAAAAGGTGTTAAGTAAAATATGTGGAGGCCCGACTTTTATGTTTTGACCGCTTATGGGAAAAGGATCTACAATAATGTGTCTCAGATGTTTGGCGAGTGCTTGCCCATGATGCTGTCGTCCATAGACACGCTTATGAGTGTTCATCTTGGAAATACACAGTCCAGCCCCAGTCCAGCCTTCAGATGAACATGACCCTGGCCAATGTCTCAACAGCTACTTTATGAAAGACCATGAGTCAGAACCACCAGCTACGCCACTCCCAACTTTCTGATCCCCGAAATGAACATGGTTTTCTTAGCCCTGTTGGAACTCTTGGCTAGGTTAATGCCTAACCACAAGATCGGTAATGCAACACTGTCCGCCACTCCACAGGAGAAAGAGGAGGCTGTTTGCTCCCTATAAATGGAAACCCTACACAAGGTCACGGTGAATCAGTATTGACTCGATGGCAATGATTTGTGACAGCAACTGATAAGGAATACAAACACTCACCAAGTTGTCCATCTCTCTGTCCTTCTTGGGAAGCCCATCTGCTGTGATCACCACTGGAGGAGAGGGGACAAGTGGGCATGCATTACTCTGGAGTGGACCTTAGAAGGCCAATTTGCTTGATATCTCACAACTTTAGGTTTCAACCCTCACCCTAACTGGGACATTCTGGAATGCGACCAAACCTTCCCCTCTCCCCATATTGCTCCCTGACTTTCACTGAATCCTTCTCCCCTTCTTCCAGGTCTGCCCCTTCTCCTCACCCCCTTACCTGGTGTTCTCTTTAAGACCTCAACACCTGGGCTGAGTCTGAAGGGAAGGAACGAAGGAGCATTAGGAGCAGGCAGGAAGCGGAGGACTGGTTAGGGGGTTAGGGCTCTCTCTCACAGTTCTCACCTCTCCCGTGGATTCTCATCCTTGCTCTTGGTGTGAGAGGCACCTGAGGATGACCAATGGTCTGGATTCAAGAGGGAGGTCTTTTCCCAGCATCTCCCTGTCCAGGTCACCCACCCATCACCTCGAAACCTACCATGTTTCCTCTGACGCTGACAATGGAGGAGGAAGAGGATGAGGAAGAGGAGACCCAGGACCACGGCCACCGAAATGCCAATGAGGATGTACAGCTGGTGTTTGGAAACAGGTGCGTCTAGAAAGATGGACTCAAGATATCGGCAACTGTCACAAATTGAGCACCTACTGCATACTGAGACTTGAAGTTCAAAGACAGTGCATGGGCCAAGGTTAGAGGATCACCTAGGAAAAGGGACTGTGGACGTGGGGGCGGATCCATGGGGGATCTTCTCCTCTTAGAACAGCAGTTATCAACCTGTGAGTTGCCACCCCTTTGGGTCAAATGACCCTTTCACAGGGGTTGCCCTATTCCTAACAATAGCAACATTAGAGTTATAAGGTAGCAACAAAAATAATCTTATGGTTTGGTGGTCATCACAAATTGAAATACTGTTTTAAAGGGTCATGACATTAGGAAGGTCTAGAACCACTGTCTTACAAGATTCTGTTCAGAGATCAGAGGTGGAAGTACAAGTGGATAACCTGAGACCCAAGGAGTGAGGAGCACTTAACCCTTTTGTGCCACCAAGTTGAGGCAGAACCAGGAGGGCTAGAGGTAGACAGAAAGACTGGATATGCACACAGTCCCAGACATATCATCCTTATCACCTTTCACAGACAGGTCCCCTTCCTCTTAGGGCGACCTTACACTGTCATAAAAAATTATATGTGCTTCTAAAGTCTGGTATATGTGGAAACAGAGATTTCTCCCAAGTTGTCTCCCCCAAACATATGCCAAACTTAGCTGCTTGCTACTATGCCAAGTGATTATACACTTGGAGGTCAACAGAAGTAGGTAGGGGGTTTTCTCCCTAAGGGTTATCAGCCATCAGAGCAAGTAGTCACCACTGTTTATCCCACAACAAGTAGAGTACACTCCCTTCTGATAAGGTTTTAGTAGATTGTTTCCTTGAAGGAGAGCCCAGGGAGGTCAAGCCCACTCAAGGGTGACCAAGGTTAGGCCACCATCATGAATCTAGGTTCTCCCGTCTTGTCACATGTATACCCCTAATCCCTTCCCTTCCTATTATGTGTACATCCCCTTCCTGTTACGCTTATGCCTATTGTACATCCCCTTCCCATGATGTGTATGCCTATTGTACTTCCCCTTCCTGTGACATGTGGCTAACTGTAATCACGCCCCGCTCCCCCCTATGTAGATATAAGCCTTGGTTAGCAATAAAGGGGATCTCCATCCCACCTTGCCTCGACCCTCGCTGTGCATGCAGCCGGTAGGTAAGATCATGGCCGTCCAGGAAGTGGGCATGCTACCATGAAATGTGTCTGACTTATTTACTTGACTCTCTCTTCTATCTCTCTTGCTTTCTATGACTTTACTATAGTCTTCATATATCTTAATCAGAATTGCGCCCACTGGACCAGCGATTAGTTGTGGGGGCCGTCTTTTTCCCCACAGGTGTACTCTCAGAATAAGTGAGTTTGGAACACTGCTGAATGAAATCCATTCTGCTCCTACTGATCTCATAAGACCGAGTGGAACTGACCTTGCGCATTTCCATGACGGTAACCCTTTGAGGGAGTGGAAAGGCCCATATATCTCCCATGGAGCAATTGGTGTCCCCCGGTTCATGTCCAGTGTCAGCTGGTTCTGGCTCTATACATTTGTGGCTTCTTATCTAAATCCAAGTACAACCCACCTCCCCTGGGACTGGGGGTGGGAGAAGGGTTCAGAGATGGCTCATGACTGAGTCTCTTCCCAGACGAGTCCTGTCACTGACCAAAGGGGACGAGACACCTGGACAACCGGGACCACACATCTTGCATGGGAGGCCCAAGAAGGCAGAGAGGTGGATGCACATGGAGAGATGTATGTCCATGAGACCCCAGGACTCCTCATTTTCATCACCTTTTATAGCTCTGACCCTAGATTTAGGCCCCTGACAGGCATAATAATTAAGAATGGCAAAAATAGGCTGAGAATCAAAGACTGGACAAAGGCATACCAAGGAAAAAGCAATTAAAAAAAGCAGGGGTTGCAATCCTAATCTCGGATAAAATTGACCTCAAATTGCAAACTATAACAAGAGATAAGGAGGAATATGATATAATCCTCAAGTGAACAGTAGACAAAGAACCACTAAGCATTTAAACATATATTCCCCGAATGAGAGACCCGCTGAATACATCAACCAAACTCTCCAAAAGATGAAAGAAGAAATTACAGCCTCAACAATTATAGTGGGTGACTTCAACACCCCGCTCTCTGAGAAAGACAGCTCAAAGAGGAAAGAAAGTCAGCAGGGGAGATGGAAGGGGGAGAGGAGGGGGGAAATTAAGGAAAGGAAGAGGGACAGAGAGGGAGGGGAAGACAGAGAAGGAAGAAGAGGACTGCTGACAGATGACTGATAAAAGTCCGAGGCAGGATTCAAACTCAGGGTTCCCTCACTCCAAGCACATCACCCTCTCCTGACCAGTAGGCTCAGGGAGCACCTTAGGGAGCGTTCTGTGTAGCATGGTTTTGATCTCACCTCCCAACACCCCCACCTGTGGACTGGCCTTTGGGGCCACCTGCGTGGGATCAGAGACTTGAATCTCAAGACAGTGAACATGACCGAGGTCAGAGGACCACCTTGGACATGTGACTGTGGGAGTGGGGCTGTGTCCAGAGAGGGACTCCTCCTCTCAGAAGATTCTATTCTCACATCAGAGGAGGAAGTACAAGTGAATTACCTGAGACCCAGGGAGTGGGGACCACTTAGTTCCTTTGTCCCACCGAGTAGAGGTAGAACCAGGAAGGCGAGAGGTAGACAGACAGACTGGAGATGCACTCAGTCCCAGAGTCCTCATGCCCCTCATCTTTCACAGTTAAGTCCTCTTCCTCTTAGGGAGTCCTTACATTGTGTGGTAGTTACGTAATCTGGTCCCAATTGAGATTATTAAGGGTGAAGGGGGGGAGTTTAGCCTGTCAATGATGTCGATACTTGATGGCCTCATTTTGAGGTGCTGCAGAGATAAACAGCTCACTGGAAATGGGACACGGACGCTCTCTGCTTTGTTTTCCTAAAGATAAGAGATGTGGAGCCTGAGGAGCCACATGCAGACCCAGGCCAGTGTTGAGATGCTTCCACCACCACTGGATCCAAAAGACTTTCCACCCGCTGTCTGTGATCTTCCTGCATTCAGCATTATTGTATGTGTTTCCCGAGTCTGGAGAAGAATTTATAGACTGCTATTGGACATATGGGCTAACGTCACACTTATGGAATTGATCTGGACTGGGCTGTGATGTTTTCTTAATAAACAATTGTTCTTTTATATAAAGCTCTTTATATACACATAGACACACGAGTGTCTATGAATTTGCTTATGTAGTAACCCGGACTAACACACATGTCATCAAAAATTATATGTATTTCTAAAGCCCTGTGTACTCTCAGAGCATCTGGGTTTAGAACACCTCTGAATGAAGTTCATTCTAACTCATAGTGATCGTCCAAGACAGGATACAACTGGCCCTGTGAGTGTTCACATAGGTAAATCTATAAGGGAGTAGAGTTGCTACCATGGAGCAACTGGTGTCCCAGCCTCATGTCCACAGTCAACTGGCTCTGGCTCTATCATCTTGTGGTTTGGGTTCCTTGACAGAGTCCAAGTACAACCCCCTTTTTCCTGGGACTTGGGTTGGGGGAAGGGTTCAGAGATGGCTCATGACTGAGTCTCTTCCGCGTCTAGTGCAGTCACCGACCAAAGGGGAAGAGGCAGCTGGACAACTGGGACCACACATCTTGCAGGGAGGCCCAAGAAGGCAGAGAGGTGGGTGGACAAAGGAGAGATGGGTCTACATGGGACCCCGGGAGTCCTCCTCTTCATCACCTTTCATAGCTCTGTCCCCTAACTTTAGGTGCCCGACAGGCATAATGTTTAACGATGTTTATCATTCACAACACCCCCTCTTCGCGTTCTGATTGTCAGAATTTGAAAGAAGACTTTTAAGTCCCTGCATCAACTGCAGAGGGGGTGAAGAGTAAGACACTGATCACTAGAGGGCAGTGGAGAAGGGCTTTAAACCCTAAAGTCTAAGATCTGGCTGCCAGGGCTGGACGGAGCCTCTGCCCGCTATGAGCCCTGTGACTGTAGGCAAGGACCTTCCACTCAGTGTTTGCACATTAAGATTCAAAGATGGGTTGTGGCCCACCCGGTGAAAGCACACTAGCCTTTGTGATCTAAGGACTGTCAACTATATAATCAAAGAAGAAAAGAGGGTGCATGGAACTGTGTGTGGCCTCCTCCCTGGGGGACGGACAACCGAAAAGTGGATGAAGGGAGAAGTCGGACAGGGCAAGATATGACAAAATACCCATTT